GCTATATAAACTTGAGAGGTTTTTCACTAAAAAGATATATAGAATAAAAAGAGGCTATATAGTTAACATTTGGTCCGACAGCGTTTCGTATGGGATGATCACATGGTGAAAACCCTGGAAATTCCGTTTCTTTTAAGTCCCTGGACCCTAGCACATATTATGATATTCGTACAATTAACATAAATTTACGTGTCAATCAACAGCTGGCTTATCAATGTTTTTTTTCAATTTACTTTAAAGTTCCGTCATAATTTCAAAACTTGAGTAAGTTTCGAGCAGTAAATTCTATCTCTTATTGGTTATTCACAGTCTATTCCCATTCTAACTATTGCATTGGCAATAATTTGAACACCAAAGGAAACTCTCTTTAAGTCATTTCTTTCTGTGCTTACAGAAGCGTTTACATTGAATTCTACAAAGTTTTCATTTTTTAAAGTGATGGTCACTGTTTTGAGAAAAATAATATTATTAGTTTTTTTTTTAATATAAAGGTAAATCATTAAAGATAGAGAAAATTCTTATCATATAGGCCTTTTAATTTTCGGCTGCTTTTATATCTAATAAATATAAGGATATTGAATGACTGTAGGTTTACTATATTTATTGAACAAGTTGAATAAAATCATATTATGCGAGCCTCTGGCGAGCATAATATTGTTTTATTCAACGAGTTCAATAAATTTAGTATTGAATCTACACAAATATAATATTCTATTTATCACATATTCAAACAAGAGAACGATTAACAGTTAAAACAATTCATATTTTATATGCCCAAAAGAATTTTGGGCAAATTATGATATACCCCCTGGCGTCCGCCCGCCCGTTTGTCTGTCTATCCGTACGTCCGTCTGTCCGAGCAAACATTTTGGGTTTAGGGGCTATATAACAGTAAAGAGAACAAAAGAGAACAATAGGTTCATTCCGTGATCAAAGGGTTTATGGGCTAGTAGCCCTTAAGAAAACAAAGAAAATAACAAAGAAAATAGCCCCTAAACCCAAAATGTTGGAACGTCCGTCCGTCCGTCCGTTAGCAATTTGGTTTCCGGAGCATAACTTAAGTTCCATTTGGCCCACAATATTCAAACTTCATAGGATGATTGTCCATATTGGGTAGAAGACCCCTATTGATTTTGGGGTCACAAGGTCAAAGGTCACTAATACCTTAAAACTGAAAACGGTTTCCGGAGCATAACTTAATTAAGTTTCATTTGGCCAACCGTGTTCAAACTTCAAAGGAAGATTGTCCATATTGGGAAAAAGACCCCTATTAATTTTGGGGTCACAACTCACAAGGTCAAGGTCACTATTACCTTAAAACTGAAAATAGTTTTCGGAACTTAACTTAAGTTTTATTTGGCCCACAGTGTTTAAACTTCATAGGATGATTGTTCATATTGGGAGAAGACCCCTATTGAGTTTGGGGTCACAAGGTCAAATGTCAAGGTCACTATTACTTTAAAACTGAAAACAGTTTCTGGAGCATAACTAAAGGTCTATTTGTCCCACGATATTCAAACTTCATAGGATGATTGTCCATATTCGGTAGAAGACCTCTATTGATTTTGGGGTCACAAGGTCAAAAGTCAAGGTCACTATTACTTTAAAACTGAAAACAGTTTCCAGAACATAACTTAATTTCTATTTGGCCCATAGTGTTGAAACTTCATAGGATGATTGTCAATATTGGATAGAACACCCCTATTGATTTTGGGGTCACAAGGTCAAAGTTCAAGGTTGCTTTTACCTCAAAACTGAAAACAGTTTCCAGAGAATAACTTAAGTTCCATTTGGCCCACAATATTCAAACCTTATAGGAGGATTGCAATTTGAAGGAGGTAATACTTTATTTAATTTATGTCATGTCTTAGAACCTTCAACCTTTCTAAAAAAACACTTTCGGGCATATAATGCTCCGCCTAGCGGTGCTCTTGTTCATTGACGCATCTATAGTGTAACACTGACATTAGCGCGTTTATATATAAATAGCGCAAATGACGTCACGTCAAAGTGTTATTACACTAGTGTAATATCGTTTTTATTTGTTTGGGTCGTCAGACCAAACAAATAATGGTAGCGAAATTTCAGACCCTGATGTTCTTATTTGCAAATACCGAAAGTATTCAAGACTCCTCGAAGCGGTTACTTCCCTTCATATTTACATTAACGCCGACAAATGAAGGGGAGATCACTTCGTAAAGATTGTTAAATGACAGGCGCATATATTTATGTAACGAAAAAATATTTCCCGATTGGTCGAAGATTTCTAATATTGTGTTATTCTTATTGATATACATGCTTATATTCAGCTCCATGATTATTTACTTCAGTGTTAAACAACTGGTTTACCGTGAACAAAATATATCGAAATTAATAAGGGTTACAAACTTTAATTTAGAATACTATGGTATTCTTCATGCTGTTATCTTATAACTCCCGCGGTCGAGGGCTTTACACGCTCGCTTTGATAGCGAGAGGTCTGGAGTTCAAATCCCAGTTCAGGCAACATTTTTCTTTTCTCAAGCCAAATAAACATTGAATTGAATATCAGTGCAGTGTTGCAATTAGTTTTATAGCCAATTTACTATAGTTATAACACTGGAAACAGCATTGGTGACACTATACAAACAAATTGGTTTATAATCTTCACATTTCTGTCATTCTGAGACCCAAACAAATTCAGGGCTTCTGTGCTTTGATTATTAAATGGCTCTAGCCGCGGTTTATGTGATAAAGTTATTTACTATAATACATTACTACATGATTTAATTTGCACTGTTTGGATTTCCTATATAAATAAAAGAGGATATATAGAAAAAAGCACGTATATTTCAGCAAAATACACACACTAAATTCTAAATAATAATAGATTTAAGAGTACGTTTCCTTACTTATACACGCGGACGTTCTGCCGTTACTGTACAACAGGTGCGTGATAACCGGAAATAGCCTCAATATGGCACACTTGGCAAGTGTGCCAATATAGCTTATTGGCACACTTGCTCAAATACGGGATTTTCGCATGTCATATTCAGAAAAAAGAAACGCATTTTCATTACTATATAACTATATATATTACTATACATAGTAACATATGCAATAAATATATATATATTTCAACTAGTCCTACGTTAACTAGACCCTGGGACATGTTTTGCAAGGTATCATTACACTAAAAGCTTATTTTATATACAATGTATGAGATAAAGACACTAACATTATAAGTAAAAGCAAATTTTCATATATTTTTAAGATTGATTTCAGTTATACCTAAAATTTGAGTGTACCGTATCTTTTAAAATAACAGTGTGTTCCGTGCCATTTCAACATAACTTTATCAAAATATTCTAAAACATCACTGCATTCACTAGATACATTGGACATAGTTAATCTAAAAGATTTAGTATATATTTTTCTAAGAAACAGTGAAAAGGGAATGAAAATTTAGGGGTTTAAACTTTGATTTACCGTGAGTAGCTGATATAATTACGGGTACTCTGCGCCTTATCTGATCCAAATCGGTTGAGTAAAAGCAAAGTTATTAATAAAAAACATACCGAAAAGATATTTTTTTTAAAATGTGTGAATGAGCGGGCCGTACACTTTTCTTCTCTAAAAAGATTTTGAGAAAAAACTAATCCTGATTGACTTTACCATTGAGTCACGCTGTACAGGCACCGTGATTGCATTATATTGTAATTTTGGCGATTATTCTCAAAATTATATATGCTGATAATAATAATAAAACACAAAAACACAAGAAAAACAACCTATTCTCTCCATTACGTATCCGTCAAATTAAATTTAAGTCCTTTTAAGAATGTTTCGTATTACAGGTACTGAAATTTTATATGTCGCTGATGAATAAATATGGAAATGAAAGACAGGTAATTACACTTATGCAGTATTATTTTATGTCTTTGAAGCTAAATACAAACACAATTATTGAATTCCACTTTTTTATCTATCACTCGTAAAACAAAGAAATTACAAGCAACACCCATTGCCAAAACCTTGTTCACGCACACAGTCAACCAAGTGAGCAACTAACCGCCAGCAAACTAGTTAAAATAAACCGCCAGCAAACTCGTTAAAATAGAGAAAATACAAAATCCCTTAAAAAAACTCACCATGGAAAATTGAAAATGATGCAGGCTCGGTTTGATTGAGCCTATTCATATAGTAGTAGTTGTAAGCTACCGTCCACGCCCCCTAGCACCGGCTTAACCAGAATTCAACATTTAACATGAACAGGTAAAATTTTATAACATCCACACACGTGTTCATATGGCGGTTTACACGGAACCTTCTATGTGGCACATTATTGCAATTCCATGAAAAACGATAGATAATTGCGCGTGTCCTAAACGATACTCTCGGCCGAATGTTTTACTAACGTTCATTTTCTTACATTAGTGTATTCACTGAGCTGCGAAGGCAGCATACTTATACCAAAAAACCAATGTGCGTTAGTAAATGAAATGGCATTTTGAAACGACGTCAGAGTTTATGAAGCCTGCATATCACAGATAAGCTGTCAAGAGACAAAATTAAAAAGCAGGCAAAATATCCTAAGTGTGATGGAATCACAGCTCAAATATAGTGGGGCGGGAAATTGAGAAAATAGTGCAAATGGTGATACAAGCATGAAACTTTCAGGAAATCATCTTAAGACCATGTAGATGTAAAAAGTGAAGTGGGCCCAAAAATATCTCCGCTCATTCAAGATGGCCGCCATTTTCAAAATGGCCGCCATATATATTTCACGTACATAATAGTTTATTCCGTCAAACTATTTATACAGCCCTTAAACTTACATTAAAGCATGTGTAAAGTTTCTCCTTTTCAAAAATTTAAATCTTACAAAATTCCGCTTAGATACCTCTTCAAAATTCAAGATGGCGTCCAATATGGCCGCCGATTTTGTGCAAAACTGTTATTTCAGAAATATAATTTTATTGATGGAATAACTTTAACAGTTGAATTATTTGCACATAGTTGAAACTAACAGACGTTTCATTATTATTATTGTTAGATTTTTCTTTTTTTTTGAACATTTTCAACATTTATTTTGAACCGTCAACTAAGCAGTGTTTATGATAAACTTTCAAAAAGTGTAACCTCTTGCAGGGTTAATTTCATGCATGCATTATTTTATAGAAACGTTATTTTTATAACACATAGAAAGCAACTTGCTTTGTTAATAGATACCGCCATTGTACAAGGTGCCTATACCACGTGACATTTTGTGATCAGCGTGAGACAGAAACACCAATACAAAAGATCAACTCTTTGATAAAATCATTATTTTTTATGGGATAAAATTTTTTGGGCAAAATCATTTTCTTTCATTATGATTCGATGTGGCCATACCACGTGGCTTTTCGGCTACGGTACACGCAGATTTTTCACCAATTCAGGTATGTTTTTATTAATAACTTTGCTGTTACGTAACCGATTTTGATCAGATAAAGCCTGGAGTACCCCCAATTTTATCAGCTACCCACGTTTAATCAAAGTTTTGAAAACCCCTGAATGGTCCTTAATAACATTCGACAATAATATAATAATAACATTTTTTTCATAGCCTGGGCCGAGGGGAACGGTACACACTCACGAATCACAACAAGCGATTTCAAGCAAGTTGTACGGTTTTTTAATTCTGTTTCATAGAAAAATGAATGCTAAATATTATAGACTTACTATGTCCAATGTATCTAGTAAATGCAGTGATGTTCTGCATATTTTCATAAAATTATCTTGAAATGGTACAGAACAGACTGTTATTTTAAAAGATTTCCATACATTGGAATATTTGTATCACTAGACTTTCAAACAATATTTGATGTCATTACTTGTACTCTACCATATTTGATTATTTCATGATTAGCAATCCAGTGCAGGGAAATAGTATATTTAATTTTTGCATGTCTTTTGTTACTAAAGGATTTTGTACTGTTTACATAACATACGTGTATTTTGTGTTGCGTTGATTTGTTACGTTTAGAAGTACATTTACTTATATATTTTTTTTTTACTTTTTCTTCAAAAATTTATTTTTAAATCCACCACTTTTTCTCCTTTGTAATTGTAACATATACTTTGACTCTAGAAAAACGATCAGGAATACAATATGGAGTTGCCAAAATACTCTAAAAAAACGGGGCTACATAAACTAGAGAGGTTTTTCACTAAAAAGATATATAGAATAAAAAGAGGCTATATAGTTAACATTTGGTCCGACAGCGTTTCGTATGGGATGATCACATGGTGAAAACCCTGGAAATTCCGCATCTTTTAAGTCCCTAGACCCTAGCACATATTATGATATTCGTACAATTAACATAAATTTACGTGTCAATCAACAGCTGGCTTATCAATGTTTTTTTTCAATTTACTTTAAAGTTCCGTCATAATTTCAAAACTTGAGTAAGTTTCGAGCAGTAAATTCTATCTCTTATTTGTTATTCACAGTCTATTCCCATTCTAACTATTGCATTGGCATCTACAAAGTTTTCATTTTTTAAAGTGATGGTCACTGTTTTGAGAAAAATAATATTATTAGTTTTTTTTTAATATAAAGGTAAATCATTAAAGATAGAGAAAATTCTTATCATATAGGCCTTTTAATTTTCGGCTGCTTTTATATCTAATAAATATAAGGATATTGAATGACTGTAGGTTTACTATATTTATTGAACAAGTTGAATAAAATCATATTATGCGAGCCTCTGGCGAGCATAATATTGTTTTATTCAACGAGTTCAATAAATTTAGTATTGAATCTACACAAATATAATATTCTATTTATCACATATTCAAACAAGAGAACGATTAACAGTTAAAACAATTCATATTTTATATGCCCAAAAGAATTTTGGGCAAATTATGATATACCCCCTGGCGTCCGCCCGTCCGTTTGTCTGTCTATCCGTCCGTCCGTCTGTCTGTCCGAGCAAACATTTTGGGTTTAGGGGCTATATAACAGTAAAGAGAACAAAAGAGAACAATAGGTTCATTCCGTGATCAAAGGGTTTATGGGCTAGTAGCCCTTAAGAAAACAAAGAAAATAACAAAGAAAATAGCCCCTAAACCCAAAATGTTGGAACGTCCGTCCGTCCGTTAGCAATTTGGTTTCCGGAGCATAACTTAAGTTCCATTTGGCCCACAATATTCAAACTTCATAGGATGATTGTCCATATTGGGTAGAAGACCCCTATTGATTTTGGGGTCACAAGGTCAAAGGTCAAGGTCACTATCACCTTAAAACTGAAAACGGTTTCCGGAGCATAACTTAATTAAGTTTCATTTGGCCAACCGTGTTCAAACTTCAAAGGAAGATTGTCCATATTGGGGAAAAAAACCTATTAATTTTGGGGTCACAACTCACAAGGTCAAAGGTCAAGGTCACTATTACCTTAAATTGAAAATAGTTTTCGGAACTTAACTTAAGTTTTATTTGGCCCACAGTGTTCAAACTTCATAGGATGATTGTTCATATTGGGAGAAGACCCCTATTGAGTTTGGGGTCACAAGGTCAAATGTCAAGGTCACTATTACTTTAAAACTGAAAACAGTTTCTGGAGCATAACTAAAGGTCTATTTGTCCCACGATATTCAAACTTCATAGGATGATTGTCCATATTCGGTAGAAGACCTCTATTGATTTTGGGGTCACAAGGTCAAAAGTCAAGGTCACTATTACTTTAAAACTGAAAACAGTTTCCAGAACATAACTTAATTTCTATTTTGCCCATAGTGTTGAAACTTCATAGGATGATTGTCAATATCGGATAGAACACCCCTATTGATTTTGGGGTCACAAGGTCAAAGTTAAAGGTCGCTTTTACCTCAAAACTGAAAACAGTTTCCAGAGAATAACTTAAGTTCCATTTGGCCCAAAATATTCAAACCTTATAGGAGGATTGCAATTTGAAGGAGGTAATACTTTATTTAATTTATGTCATATCTTAGAACCTTCAACCTTTCTAAAAAACACTTTCGGGCATGTAATGCTCTGCCTAGCGGTGCTCTTGTTCATTGACGCATCTATAGTGTAACACTGACATTAGCGCGTTTATATATAAATAGCGCAAATGACGTCACGTCAAAGTGTTATTACACTAGTGTAATATCGTTTTTATTTGTTTGGGTCGTCAGACCAAACAAATAATGGTAGCGAAATTTCAGACCCTGATATTATTATTTGCAAATACCGAAAGTATTCCAGACTCCTCGAAGCGGTTACTTCCCTTCATATGTACATTAACGCCGACAAATGAAGGGGAGATCACTGCGTAAAGATTGTTGAATGACAGGCGCATATATTTATGTAACGAAAAAATATTTCCCGATTGGTCGAAGATTTCTAACATTGTGTTATTCTTATTGATATACATGCTTATATTCAGCTCCATGATTATTTACTTCAGTGTTAAACAACAGGTTTACCGTGAACAAAATATATCGAAATTAATAAGGGTTACAAACTTTAATTTAGAATACTATGGTATTCTTCATGCTGTTATCTTATAACTCCCGCGGTCGAGGGCTTTACACGCTCGCTTTGATAGCGAGAGGTCTGGAGTTCAAATCCCAGTTCAGGCAACATTTTTCTTTTCTCAAGCCAAATAAACATTGAATTGAATATCAGTGCAGTGTTGCAATTAGTTTTATAGCCAATTTACTATAGTTATAACACTGGAAACAGCATTGGTGACACTATACAAACAAATTGGTTTATAACCTTCACCTTTCTGTCATTCTGAGACCCAAACAAATTCAGGGCTTCTGTGCTTTGATTATTAAATGGCTCTAGCCGCGGTTTATGTGATAAAGTTATTTACTATAATACATTACTACATGATTTAATTTGCACTGTTTGGATTTCCTATATAAATAAAAGAGGATATATAGAAAAAAGCACGTATATTTCAGCAAAATACACACACTAAATTCTAAATAATAATAGATTTAAGAGTACGTTTCCTTACTTGGAAAATTAAATTTGATGACGTTATTTTAAAATTGAAAAGGCAAATTAAAAAAGTCAACATATTTTTCTATCAACAGCAACTAAAGAAAAAGCTTTTTACATGCAAGCGCACGATCCTGTGAAGATCAAAGCGTTTCACATACCCTAGTCGATTTTAAACCTGGCAATGACATAAAGTTCATAAAGTACGTAACAATTAATGCACACATAAACATTAACATTTTAGGTATATATGAAAATCGAATTTCTTGAAAAAGTTAAATTTTGAATAATTAAGCTTTTAGTGTAATGATACCTTGCAAAACATGTCCCAGGGTTTACGTAGGACTAGTTGAAATATGTAGAGGTTATAACATGGGGCAAGTGTGCCTTTAGTCCATATTGGCACATTTGGTAACTTATTTGTCCGAGGGCTTTAAATAGCGATTGTTCTCATATATTAATTAATTGGCTGTCCGTGTTTTTCGATTTTATAGTCTAAATCCATCAAGCGATTCGCTAAAGATTTCAACGTCCTTTCGACGGCCATTTTTAGCAATGCGGTTGTCAATTACGTAACGTGTATACACGCGGACGTTCTGCCGTTACTGTACAACAGGTGCGTGATAACCGGAAATAGCCTCAATATGGCACACCTGGCAAGTGCGCCAATATGGCTTATTGGCACACTTGCTCAAATACGGGATTTTCGCATGTCATATTCAGAAAAAAGAAACGCATTTTCATTACTATATAACTATATATATTACTATATATAGTAACATATGCAATAAATATATATATATTTCAACTAGTCCTACGTCAACTAGACCCTGGGACATGTTTTGCAAGGTATCATTACACTAAAAGCTTATTATATATACAATGTATGAGATAAAGACACTAACATCATAAGTAAAAGCAAATTTTCATATATTTTTAAGATTGATTTCAGTTATACCTAAAATTTGAGTGTACCGTATCTTTTAGAATAACAGTGTGTTCCGTGCCATTTCAACATAACTTTATTAAAATATTTTAAAACATCACTGCATTCACTAGATACATTGGACATAGTTAATCTATAAGATTTAGTATATATTTTTCTAAGAAACAGTGAAAAAGGAATGAAAATTCAGGGGTTTAAACTTTGATTTACCGTGAGTAGCTAATATGATTACGGGTACTCTGCGCCTTATCTGATCCAAATCGGTTGAGTAAAAGCAAAGTTATTAAAAAACATACCGATAAGATATTTTTTTAAAAATGTGTGAATGAGCGGGCCGTACACTTTTCTTCTCTAAAAAGATTTTGAGGAAAAACTAATCCTGATTGACTTTACCATTGAGTCACGCTGTACAGGCACCGTGATTGCATTATATTGTAATTTTGGCGATTATTCTCAAAATTATATATGCTGATAATAATAAAATACAAAAACACAAG